TTAGGTTGTGGAGGCAAAAGTTCACCAATTGGATTTTGCACTTGAACGCATTTTTCTGTCATTGAAGGAGATTACGGTAACTTATATTCACCTAGTTTCTTAATTATTAATGTTTTTATTGTAGATTCCAGCAATACTTGATTTCTTTTATAAAATATCTTATCTTTTCCTGTGCCAGCCGGATCCTCTGATTGAGGCCTTGGAATTCGTGGTTGGTGGTCGTGATCCCTTGGATGGGAGGTTGGAGGCAGCTGAAGCTGATACTGAGGTTTTTGTTTTCTCCCTGTGAATAGGAACTTATTACAATTCTTGTTGTGTCGGGGCTGTGCCTCACAGCTTGCATTGTTGTTGGAAATACGAATTGTATAATAAACATATAAAAATACTTGAAATCCCGTTCATCAAAATTTAGTATCCAAGTAAAAGGATTTGAGAATTCACTTCATGTAATATGACATGGCATGTGTGGGCCACTTCCTATGGCGTATGTGTTTGTAAAATTTCTGATTCAGTGATTGATCCAGTGCTTAATTTCATTTTGTGCATTTATAAATGGTTTTGACGTGGCTGAAACTCACAATCTATTCCCAAATTTTCAGTGGCCTGACGTGGAATCTCTTATTAAAGAACTGCAAAAAATTGAAGGAATTGAGTCTGTATCAAAAGGTCGTTTCTTTTTGAGCCCAGGCTTAGCTCCAACATTTCAGGTATGAAGACCCCTGATTCCTAGCTTCAAGTGGTGGACAAGTTGAGGGTTGTTGATTATTTTATGGAAATATTTGCTTTCAAAAATACCAACTTGTGTGTTGTCTCAAGTTCTAGGAATACTTCTCAACTTTCAAAAAGACCATTGATTTCTTTTCAATTAAACTCTTTTGTATTATCATTTTGGTGTGTCAGTCTTCATTGGAATATATTTATGGAGTGATCTAAGGTTCTCATTTCATGCAGTCTTAATTTGTATGCAGTTAGCATCCTAGTGCTTGGTTTATCAGTCAAATATTGTACTAAATGCTTCCAATTAATTAGTGTAACCTATACATGCTAGTTTTTTCTAGTCAGAGTTGTTTTCATAAATTTTTTGCGTTCAATCTACCTTCTGTTGCAGGTTTATATGGCATCAATGTTTGAGAATCAGTACAAATTACTTGCTCGATCTAGTAACAAAGTGCAAGAGGTGAAAAATCTTAATACCTCATCTGATTTTATTATTTACCTTCTTTTTTATGTGAAGGCTATGCTAGAATTTGCATATCTTTTCTGTTATTTCCGAGCCATCAACTTCTACCTCATGAATGTATGTTAAAGTATTTTCCACTTTTACTGGGCTTGAATGGTTATGGGGACTTTGCATGTTTTATTGTTTGATTCAAGATCTGGAATATGCTAATTTCAGCTGTTTTCTATTTGTAAGAAACAAGCATGTGATGCATGATAATGTTGGCCACCCAGTAGCTTTTGATTGGGTGTGGAACCCATCAATTTGTAGCGGCCTCTTTAAGGGTCTTCTTGCTTGTGTCTCCATCTTTATATTTCTGTACCCTTTTTTAATGGTTTGTAGTACAAAAACCCAAGCTTCTGTATCAAATCAAAATGGGTATCACATGGAATTTATTAATTACCATTGCCTTGTAGGCCAAAGTAGTTGCAGGGGTTAACTGGGCAGGTGTTCAAACCCTTGCTAATAATAAGTTTTCCTTTTAAGTAATAAAATGAACTGTTCCTACCGTTTGACCATGTACAATGTGTAGTAGCTTGTACATTCCAGATGACCATGGTGGTGAAGAAGAAGAAAACAAACTTGCTCCCAAATGTGACCAAGCTTTACTTAAAACTATAGACTTTTGGCTCTTTGGCATTGTTTTGCTTGTACAAAATATTTATACCTTTTTCATGTCTTTAAACCAGGTAGAATGTGACACACCTTTTTCTTCTATATGTAGTGGAACTGCGAATCTCAGTCTGATAATGAATCTTTTTTTTTTGGTCCAGGTGATTGTTCAAGCATCATTGGACAAAGAAGCAATGAAATCCACAATTTTATCGTGCACCAACAGAGTCGAGTAGTTCTTTCTCTGTCACTAGCCTTCACAAAATCAATTCGTTATCCCAGTTGGTCTATGTAAAGTGGCACTCCATAATGTCAACTTGAGAATGCAGTTTTGATCCTGACAGGCATCTCAGGCAAATGGATGAAGAAAACTGAACATGTGCAACAAATTCTTAAATTTTCCCGATCTGAAGAACACCTAGAGGAGGGCCAGGCTGTGGGGTTGGCTACTTTTTGTTATATAATTACATATTCATTATGTTGTAATAAACAGCAGCAATTTCATAAATTATCTTAAAAGTATACAGGTTTAGAACTGTGCAAACCATTTTGTTCTTACTCATTTTTAGTCGATGGTTCTGCCTTTCTCTGAGTGTAATCTGCAAAATTATGGAGACGGGTTCAGTATATTATACTAATCAGCTCTTATAATGGAGTGAAATATTTGCCAATTGGTAATGACTTCATTGTTATGGTTAGTTACATAATCACTATTGGTTGACCATTCTGAAGGTGGGATTTTCTTAGAAATCATTATGGTGAACTTAATATGTTAGAATATTATATGAAGAGGAAACTTGCCTACTAGTTAACCAATAGCTATGTTTTAATTTTTATTGATTGTATTATCTTTTTAAAATTTGGACTTTAATGGTGACTTGGTTGGCAATATTTCTGAATTTGTTTAGAAGAAGTTAAGCCATAGGCAGACAGAAAATTTTGAATTATGAATGTAAGTGCCGCACTCCTAAAGAAAAGCGGGGGAATTTATTAAAAGACCATTTGAAGTTTGTATTTAATTAAAAGACTATCAAGTTTTGAAGTGTCAATTAAATAGCCATATTATTGATTAAGGGTAATTAGTGCTTAATTAGGATTAATAAAGTATTATGTAATCTTTTCAAAATTATACTATATTCTCACAAACCCGAAATTGTTGCAAACAAATCCAAACACATTCTTCTTCTTCCTGCCATTAATGCATCTCTACCTCTGCATCTGCTTCTCTTCTTCTTAGTTTCGTCTACATCTTCTTCTTCTTCCTCCTTCCTCTACATCTTCTTCTTCCTCATTCTTCTATATCTTCTTGTTCGTCCACCATTAACACTTTCTTCTTCCTCCACCATTAACATCTTCTCCGCCAAAGATCCACCTCCTCCTCCTCCTGACATTTCGTCTAAGTATGTGTATCTCCTTTTTACATTTTATATTTAGATTTACAAAGATTTAATAATGGATGGGGTTTGAGTTATGATTTTGATTTAGTTGTTTAGGTTGTTGGGTTGTGTTTGATGTAATGCAAGTTGAAAGGAGTGAAATTTGTTGAAAATTTGTTCTGGGTATGTGTTCTGGGTATGATAGAATTGATTGTAGGTGGAGATGACTGAAAATATGTTCTGGGTATGATGGATCGCTTAAGCGATCTGGTAGGTCTGGTAATGCAGCAGATAGATCGCTTAAGCGATCATGTATGCAACAGATAGATCGCTTAAGCGATCTGGTAAAAGTCTGGTGCATAGGAACAGATCGCTTAAGCGATCAGTAAATGGAATAAGATCGCTTAAGCGATCATGGTTATTTATACTGGATCGCTTAAGTGATACAGCAGATCATATAAGCGACTGTGCAGATTCTTTTTAAAATATTTGAACCCTTAGTACAACATTTAAGAATATTTTTTTTTTCTTGCATTACAGGTAGTTGGCATTATTACACATGAGACAGTTTTGGGTGTTGAATATTTTGGTGAGTGGGTGGAGGAAGAACGTAGCTGGAAGTGGATTGGGAAGAGCAAAGAAGTTATACCAATTGCTGTGAGCACAAACGTTAGTTTTGATGAGTTGATTGATGAAATAATTAGAAGAGGTGATTTGAGTTGCTCGCGTAGTGATATAGTTGTGAAGTATGTTTTAAGCAGAGTTCCTGAACATTATAAGGTACCTCATACTATATTAAAGTCGGATGCCGACCGATTAGGGACATGCCATATTGGAAGAGCTCAAGCACAATTTGGCCGTACGCTCAAGATCAATGAAGCAGTCTGCGGATTCACACCGCAGAAATGTCTCTTTTCAACCCGGGGATTTAGTAACTTGAAGCTCTAGCTGTATCGGTTTCGGTCCTTAGCTAAGAAGCTCAATGAGAAGTTAAGCTCTCGCTTTTATGGCCCCTTTAAGGTGTTAGGAAGGTGTGACAAGTGGCTTATCGGTTGGACCTTCCACCTACTTCTCGTATCCACCCGTGTTTCATTTTCCCAACTTAAACGAGTCTTCATTCTTCAGTACCTATCCAACATCTTCCCTCTTTTCTGACTGAAGACTTGGAACTTCAAGTGCCCCCTGAAGCTGTCCTCTCCATTTGCCAGCTGCGGATGGCTCCCTGGAATTTCTGATTAAATGGCAGGACCTCCCACCCTTTGAAGCCACTTGGGGGGTGGGGTGTTATTGATTGGCTTCCTATAACTAAGCTGTACAAGAAAAGAAGGGAAAGCGCCAGGCAGAAATCCAATTAGAATGAGCAGTAAGGAAATTCAGATTAGAGTGAGTTAGTGTGGATCTCCAAGTAGGAAGAGGGAGTGTTGAGAGTGTGATTTCAGTTGTATATAAGGAGGGAAATAGCTGGTTAATGGGAGGGTGAAATCTGAATTATTGTTGGAGGCCACTGGCCCCTCAAAGTGCTAGTCACCCCTTTTATTTTTCTGTCATTGTTATTCCCTGTATCCAGCTTGTTTGGCCATCATTTTCTTTTCAATATATCAGTATAGTTTTCCAGTTACTTAAAGTTTGTGCTGAGTGTTAACAATAGCATTTTTATTGAGCATTGTGGTTGTGTTTTCATCATCATCACAGTTGTCTGTTTGATCTAACATATTTGAAGTCTTCAACTTTTCAATTTGTTTCCTATTGCAGGCGAAACTTCGCATCGGAGATGTAGTAAGTGTTGCATCAAGAAATTACTTATTTTGGTGTTTTTGGTCGAGGTAAATTAATATTTCCTCCTCTTGTTTCTAAAATAAAGATTCTCATCTGTATTTGTTTCATGGTATTGTATCATAATTAGTAGATTTTAGTAGCATAAATTTCCAGAGGTGATAATTAGAGGTCGGCATAGAGAACATGTGGATTGTGAGCTCTGTGACTCCCGTTGATTTTGGTTAGATATTCAATTTTGAAACATGAAGCCAAAATGTGAGATCATAAATCCTTTTATTTTCCATTTTACACAAATTTGACCTGGCCACATTGATGTAGGTTGAGGGTGTGCCTGCACTAATTCACCAGACGGAAGTGTCATGGGATGCCAGTTTGGACCCTGCTTCATATTTCAAAATTGGTCAGGTATATTACTTATTGGAATGTTAAAATTTTACTGAGTTAAATATTTGGTTGTTATATGCACTGAGATAGACTTCTTCATCTAAATACTGTGGTAAATCAGATAACTTGGCTGAACCAAAGTTATTGATCTTTCTGCCAATGAATTATGCCTTTAATTTTTGCCCTACGTTTTGATGCTTTGTTGATGCATGAAGTTGATGTTGTAGCTATCTTCTGCCTTTACATCTTTTTTGAGTTTTAGATATATTTCCGGTCTTAGGTTGTGGAGGCAAAATTTCCCCAATTGGATTTTGCACTTGAACGCATTTTTCTGTCATTGAAGGAGATTACGGTAACTTTATTCACCTAGTTTCTTAATTATTAATGGTTTTATTGTAGATTCCAGCAATACTTGATTTCTTTATAAAATATCTTATCTTTCCTGTGCCAGCCGGATCCTCTGATTGAGGCCTTGGAGTTCGGTTGGTGGTCGTGATCCCTTGGATGGGAGGTTGGAGGCAGCTGAAGCTGATACTGAGTTTTTGTTTTCTCCCTGTGAATAGGAACTTATTACAATTCTTGTTGTGTCGGGGCTGTGCCTCACAGCTTGCATTGTAGTTGGAAATACGAATTGTATAATAAACATATAAAAATACTTAAATCCCGTTCATCAAAATTTAGTATCCAGTAAAAGGATTTGAGAATTCCCTTCATGTAATATACATGGCATGTGTGGGCCACTTCCTATGGCGTATGTGTTTGAAAATTTCTGATTCAGTGATTGATCCAGTGCTTAATTTCATTTTGTGCATTTATAAATGTTTTGACGTGGCTGAAACTCACAATCTATTCCCAAATTTTCAGTGGCCTGACGTGGAATCTCTTATTAAGAACTGCAAAAAATTGAAGGAATTGAGTCTGTATCAAAGGTCGTTTCTTTTTGAGCCCAGGCTTAGCTCCAACATTTCAGGTATGAAGACCCCTGATTCCTAGCTTCAAGTGGTGGACAAGTTGAGGGTTGTTGATTATTTTATGGAAATATTTGCTTTCAAAAATACCACTTGTGTGTTGTCTCAAGTTCTAGGAATACTTCTCAACCATTGAATTATGATTTCTTTTCAATTAAACTCTTATCATTTTGGTGTGTCAGTCTTCATTGGAATATATTTATGGAGTGATACTGGTTCTCATTTCATGCAGTCTTAATTTGTATGCAGTTAGCATCCTAGTGCTTGGTTTATCAGTCAATATTGTACTAAATGCTTCCAATTAATTAGTGTAACCTATACATGCTATTTTTTTCTAGTCAGAGTTGTTTTCATAAATTTTTTGCGTTCAATCTACCTTCTGTTGCAGGTTTATATGGCATCAATGTTTGAGAATCAGTACAAATTACTTGCTCGATCTGGTAACAAAGTGCAGAGTGAAAAATCTTAATACCTCATCTGATTTTATTATTTACCTTCTTTTTTATGTGAAGCTATACTAGAATTTGCATATCTTTTCTGTTATTTTCCGAGCCATCAACTTCTACCTCATGAATGTATGTTAAAGTATTTTCCACTTTTACTGGGCTTGAATGGTATGGGGACTTTGCATGTTTTATTGTTTGATTCAGATCTGGAATGTGCTAATTTCAGCTGTTTTCTATGTGTAAGAAACAACTGTGATGCATGATAATGTTGGCCACCCAGTGCTTTTGATTGGGTGTGGAACCCATCAATTTGTAGCGGCCTCTTTAAGGGTCTTCTTGCTTGTGTCTCCACTTTTAATTGGAAGATGTTTGTTCCAATTGGGGCAAGTTGACTATGGCTTTTGATAAGGGAGGGAAAAGGGTGATACTCAAGGGTGATCCTTCACTTGTTAAGACAGTAGTTTCTCTGAAAACTTTGCTTAGGATGTTGCAAATGGAGGGGGATGGATACTTGGTAGAATGTAGTTCAATAGAGGTCAAGGATAGTCAGGAAGAAGGAAAAGTGGAACCTGTTGTGGCTGAGGTGTTAAATGATTTCGCCCAAGTTTTTGACCAAACTACTAGGCTTCCTCCCCGTAGACAACTAGACCATGCCATCACCCTTCAACTTGGAGCCAAACCACCCAACATTAGACCATACAAATACCCTTGCCTCCAAAAGAATGAGATTGATAGATTAGTTGGGGAGATGATGGATGCGGGAATTATCCAACCTAGCACAAGCTCTTATGCTAGCCCCGGGTTGTTAGTTAAGAGAAAGTATGGGAGTTGGTGATTCTGTGTCAACTTTAGAGCCGTAATCATCATTACCATACCCAACAAGTTCCCTATTCCATCCATTGAAGAGCTGCTGGATGAGCTAGCGGGGGCTATAGTCTTTTCCAAGTTAGATTTAAAGTCTGGGTATCATCAAATTCGAGTTAAAGAGGAGGACATTCCAAAGACAGCCTTTCGCACCCACAATGGCCATTATGAGTTCTTGGTGATGCCTTTCGGGTTGACGACTGCACCATCCACCTTCTAGGCCCTTATGAATACAATTTTTCGACCATTATTACGGAAGTTCATCTTGGTCTTTTTTGACGATATTCTCATCTACAGCCCTGACATGACTACCCACATTCACCATTTGCGGCAAGCTTTCAAGATTTTGCAGGATAATGCATTGGTGGTCAATAAAAAGAAATGCCTATTTGCTCAATATAACTTAGAATATCTGGGTCACTTAATCTTAGCCAAGGGGGTGGAGACTGATCCGCAGAAGATCGAATCGATGATATCTTGGCCTGTACCGCACAATGTGAAAAGTTTGAGAGGGTTTTTAGGGCTTACGGGGTATTACCGGCGATTTGTGAAAGGCTATGGTTCTATCGCTCAACCACTTACCCAATTGTTGAAAAAAGATTCATTTAGTTGGGGTGATGAAGCTTAATGGGCATTTGACAATCTTAAGACTGCCATGACAACTGTTCTCATCTTGACAATACCCAATTTTGAGCTTCCATTTGAAATTCAGACAGAAGCTTCAGGGGTTGGAATGGGTGCTGTTTTAGTTCAGAATGCTAGGCCTATTGCTTTCATCAGTAAGACTTTCTCACTTCAATCTCGACTTAAGTCAGTCTACGAACAGGAACTTATGGCTATCGTCTTTATTAGTCCGTAAATGGAGTCATTATCTCATTGGCCGCAAATTTATCATCAAGACGGACCAACGAAGCTTGCAATTTCTTATGGACCAAAGGGTTAAAACGCTGGAACAGCAGAAGTGGATTTCAAAGCTCATGGGGTACTCATTTGAGATTCACTACTATCTGAGCAATTCTAACAAAATGGCTGATGCTTTATCTCGTAGAGAGGACACAAGGGATCTCACTGCCATTACCAAGGTTCAGTTCGCTGATTATGATGGGTTAGCCGCTGAAGTGCAAGTTGATCCGAAGCTACAAGTCATCTCCTTTTCGACCCCAGTAGTCGTCCTTACTATCGACTTCGTGAAGGTTGTTTATTGTTTAAGAACAGGTTGGTACTCCCAAAAATTCTAACATTCATTCCTAAGTTACTAGAGGAATTTCATTGTAGTCCTAGTGGTGGCCACTCTGGTTTCTTTAGGACTTATAAAAGAATAGCTGCTGTTGTGTTTTGGGAGGGTATTAGATGGGATGTGCAGAAATTTGTTCAAGCATGTGCCACTTGCCAAGTCAACAAGCACTCTTCCCTCAGACTTGCAGGGTTGTTACAGCCCCTTCCTATCCCAACCCAAGTGTTTGATGATCTTTCAATGGACATCATAGGTGGGATACCTAGGGCCAAAGGTTATGATACTATTTTTGTGGTGGTCGATCGACTTACGAAATACTCTCACTTCCTCTGGTTAGCGCATCCTTACACCGCCAAAGATGTCACTAATGTGTTTACGTGTGAGGTGGTCAAACTTCATGGCTTCCCACAATCTATTGTCTCTGATCGCGACAGGGTATTCATGAGCCAATTTTGGCAAGAATTGTTTAAATAAGCAGGAACTTCCGTTAAATTTAGCTCTGCCTATCATCTCCAAACAGATGGGCAAACGGAGGTTGTTAACCGATGCTTAGAGGCCTACCTCCGCTGTTTTTGTAGCTCCCAACCCTAGTAGTGGCCCAAATGGTTAGCGTGGGCTGAGTTTTGGTACAACACTATGTACCACAACTCCACCAAAATGATCCCCTTCAAGGCTCTATATGGCAGGGATCCTACCATTCTTTTAGAGCTCATTGACTGTCCCTCCTTGGTGGAAGATGTCAACCGACAGATTAGGGACAAAAATGCCATATTGGAAGAGCTCAAGCACAATTTGGCCGTAGCTCAAGATCAGATGAAGCAGTCTGCGGATTCACACCGCAGAAATGCTCTTTTCAAACCAGGGGATTTAGTATACTGAAGCTCTAGCTGTATCGGTTTCGGTCCTTAGCTAGAAGCTCAATGAGAAGTTAAGCTCTCGCTTTTATGGCCCCTTTAAGGTGTTAGGAAGGGTTGGACAAGTGGCTTATCGGTTGGACCTTCCACCTACTTCGTATCCACCGGTGTTTCATGTTTCCCAACTTAAACGGAGTCTTCATTCTTCAGTACCTATCCAACATCTTCCCTCTTTCTGACTGAAGACTTGGAACTTCAAGTGCCCCCTGAAGCTGTCCTCTCCATTTGCCAGCTGCTGGATGGCTCCCTGGAATTTCTGATTAATGGCAGGACCTCCACCCTTTGAAGCCACTTGGGGGGGTGGGTGTTATTGATGTGGCTTCCTATAACTAAGCTGTACAAGAGAAGAAGGGAAAGGCAGCCAGGGAATTCATTAGATGAGCAGTAAGGGAAATTCAGATTAGAGTGAGTTAGTGTGGAATCTCCAAGTAGGAAGAGGAGTGTTGAGAGTGTGATTTCAGTTGTATATAAGGAGGGAAATAGCTGGTTAATGGGAGGGTGAAATCTGGAATTATTGTTGGAGGCCACTGGCCCCTCAAAGTGCTAGTCACCCCTTTTATTTTTCTGTCATTGTTATTCCCTGTATCCAGCTTGTTTGGCCATCATTTTCTTTTCAATATATCAGTATAGTTTTCCAGTTACTTAAAGGTTGTGCTGAGTGTTAACAAATAGCATTTTTATTGAGCATTGTGGTTGTGTTTTCAATCATCACAGTTGTCTGTTTGATCTAACATATTTGAAGTCTTCAACTTTTCAATTTGTTTCCTATTGCAGGCGAATTTCGCATCGGAGATGTAGTAAAGTGTTGCATCAAGAAAATGTACTTATTTTGGTGTTTTGTCGAGGTAAATAAATATTTCCTCCTCTTGTTTCTGAAAATAAGATTCTCATCTGTATTTGTTTCATGGTATTGTATCATAATTAGTAGATTTTAGTAGCATAAATTTCCAGAGGTGATAATTAGAGGTCTGGCATAGAGAACATGTGGATTGTGAGCTCTGTGACTCCCGTTGATTTTGGTTAGATATTCATTTTGAAACATGAAGCCAAAATGTGAGATCATAAATCCTTTTATTTCCATTTTACACAAATTGTGACCTGGCCACATTGATGTAGGTTGAGGTGTTGCCTGCACTAATTCACCAGACGGAAGTGTCATGGGATGCCAGTTTGGACCCTGCTTCATATTTCAAAATTGGTCAGTTATTACTTATTGGAATGTTAAAATTTTACTGAGTTAAATATTTGGTTGTTATATGCACTGAGATAGACTTCTTCATCTAAAAACTGTGGTAAATCAGATAAATCTTGGCTGAACCAAAGTTATTGATCTTTCTGCCAATGATTATGCCTTAATTTTTGCCCTACGGTTTTGATGCTTTGTTGAGCTGAAGTTGATGTTGTAGCTATCTTCTGCCTTTACATCTTTTTTGAGTTTTAGATATATTTCCGGTCTTAGGTTGTGGAGGCAAAAGTTCACAATTGGATTTTGCACTTGAAGCATTTTTCTGTCATTGAAGGAGATACGGTACTTATATCACCTAGTTTCTTAATATTAATGGTTTTATGTAGATTCCAGCAATACTTGATTTCTTTTATAAAATATCTTATCTTTTCCTGTGCCAGCCGGATCCTCTGATTGAGGCTTGGAGTTCGGTTGGTGTCGTGATCCCTGGATGGGAGGTTGGAGGCAGCTGAAGCTGATACTGAGGTTTTTGTTTTTCTCCCTGGAATAGGAACTTATTACAATTCTTGTTGTGTCGGGGCTGTGCCTCACAGCTTGCATTGTAGTTGGAAATAATTGTATATAAACATATAAAATACTTGAAATCCGTTCATCAATTTAGTATCCAAGTAAAAGGATTTGAGAATTCACTTCATGTATATGACATGGCATGTGTGGGCCACTTCCTATGGCGTATGTGTTGTAAAATTTCTGATTCAGTGATTGATCCAGTGCTTAATTTCATTTGTGCATTTAAATGGTTTTGACGTGGCTGAAACTCACAATCTATTCCCAATTTTCAGTGGCCTGACGTGGAATCTCTTATTAAAGAACTGCAAAAAATTGAAGGAATTGAGTCTGTATCAAAAGGTCGTTTCTTTTTGAGCCCAGCTTAGCTCCAACATTTCAGGTATGAAGACCCCTGATTCCTAGCTTCAAGTGGTGGACAGTTGAGGGTTGTTGTTATTTTATGGAAATATTTGCTTTCAAAAATACCAACTTGTGTGGTTGTCCTCAAGTTCTAGGAATACTTCTCAACCATTGAATTATGATTTCTTTTCAATTAAACTCTTATCATTTTGGTGTCAGTCTTCATTGGAATATATTTTGGAGTGATCTAAGGTTCTCATTTCATGCAGTCTTAATTTGTATGCAGTTAGCATCCTAGGCTTGGTTTATCAGTCAAATATTGTACTAAATGCTTCCAATTAATTAGTGTAACCTATACATGCTAGTTTTTTCTAGTCAGAGTGTGTTTCATAAATTTTTGCGTTCAATCTACCTTCTGTTGCAGGTATATGGCATCAATGTTTGAGAATCAGTACAATTACTTGCTCGATCTGGTAACAAAGTGCAAGAGGTGAAAAATCTTAATACCTCATCTGATTTATTATTTTACCTTCTTTTTTATGTGAAGGCTATACTAGAATTGCTATCTTTCTGTTATTTTCCGAGCCATCAACTTCTACCTCATGAATGTATGTTAAAGTATTTTCCACTTTACTGGGCTGAATGGTTATGGGACTTTGCATGTTTTATTGTTTGATTCAGATCTGGAATGTGCTAATTTCAGCTGTTTTCTATGTGTAAGAAACAAGCATGTGATGCATGATAATGTTGGCCACCCAGTAGCTTTTGATTGGGTGTGGAACCCATCATTTGTAGCGGCCTCTTTAAGGGTCTTCTTGCTTGTGTCTCCATCTTTATATTTCTGTACCCTTTTTAATGGTTTGTAGTACAAAAACCCAAGCTTCTGATCAAATCAAAATGGGTATCACATGGAATTTATAATACATTGCCTTGTAGGCCAAAGTGTTGCAGGGGTTAACTGGGCAGTGTTCAAACACCTTGCTAATAATAAGTTTTCTTTTAAGTAATAAAATGAACTGATCCTACCGTTTGACACCATGTACATGTGTAGTAGCTTGTACATTCCAGATGACCATGGTGGTGAAGAAGAAGAAAACAAACTTGCTCCCAAATGTGACCAAGCTTTACTTGAACTATAGATTTTTGGCTCTTTGGCATTGTTTTGCTGTACAAAAATATTTATACCTTTTCATGTCTTAAACCATGTAGAATGTGACACACCTTTTTCTTCTATATGTAGTGGAACTGCGAATCTCAGTCTGATAATGAATCTTTTTTTTTTGGTCCAGGTGATTGTTCAAGCTCATTGGACAAAGAAGCAATGAAATCCCAATTTTATCGTGCACCAACAGAGTCGAGTAGTTCTTTCTCTGTCACTAGCCTTCACAAAATCAATTCGTTATCCCAGTTGGTCTATGAAATGGCACTCCATAATGTCAACTTGAGAATGCAGTTTTGATCCTGACAGGCATCTCAGGCAAATGGATGAAGAAAACTGAAAGTCATGTGCAACAAATTCTTAATTTTCCCGATCTGAAGAACACCTAGAGGAGGGCCAGGCTGTGGGGTTGGCTACTTTTTGTTATATAATTACATATTCATTATGTTGTAATAAACAGCAGCAATTCATAATTATCTTAAAAGTATACAGGTTTAGAACTGTGCAACCATTTTGTTACGCATTTTCAGACATGGTTCTGCCTTTCTCTGAGTGTAATCTGCCAAATTATGGAGACGGGTTCAGTATATTATACTAATCAGCTCTTATAATGGAGTGAAATATTTGCCAATTGGTAATGACTCATTGTTATGGTTAGTTACATAATCACTATTGGTTGACATTCTGAAGGTGGGATTTCTTAGAAATCATTATGGTGAACTTAATATGTAGAATATGATGAAGAGGAAACTTGCCTACTAGTTAATCAATAGCTATGTTTTAATTTTTATGATTGATTATCTTTTAAAATTTGGACTTTAATGGTGACTTGGTTGGCATAATTTCTGGCTTGTTTAGAAGAAGTAAGCCATAGGCAGACAGAAAATTTTGAATTATGAATGTAAGTGCCGCACTCCTAAAGAAAAGCGGGGAATTTATTAAAAGACCATTTGAAGTTTGTATTTAATTAAAAGACTATCAAGTTTTGAAGTGTCAATTAAATAGCCATATTATTGATTAAGGGTAATTAGTGCTTAATTAGGATTAATAAAGTATTATGTATCTTTTCAAATTATACTATATCTCACAAACCCGAAATTGTTGCAAACAATCAAACACATTCTTTCTTCTTGCCATTAATGCATCTCTACCTCTGCATCTGCTTCTTCTTCTTAGTTTCGTCTACATCTTCTTCTTCTCCTTCCTCTACATCTTCTTCTTCTCATTCTTATCTATATCTTCTTGTTCGTCCACCATTAACACTTTCTTCTTCCTCCACCATTAACATCTTCTCCGCCAAGATCCCCCCTCCTCCTCCTGACATTTCGTCTAAGTATGTGTATCTCCTTTTACATTTTATATTTAGATTTACAAAGATTTAATAAGGATGGGGTTGTGAGTTATGATTTTGATTTAGTTGTTTAGGTTGTTGGGTTGTGTTTGATGTAATGCAAGTTGAAGGAGTGAAATTTGTTGAAAATTTGTTCTGGGTATGTGTTCTGGGTGATGGATATGAATGATTGTAGGTGAGATGACTGAAAAGTTCTGGGTATGAGGATCGCTTAAGCGATCTGGAGGTCTGGTAATGCAGCAGATAGATCGCTTAAGCGAATCGTATGCAACAGATAGATCGCTTAAGCGATCTGGTAAAAGTGTGCATAGGAACAGATCGAACTTAAGCGATCAGTAATGGAATAAGAATGCTAGCGAC